TCTCTCTTTGCACTTCCCATACTTCCCAACACACAGTCCCAGACAGTGCAAGAAATCTTAAAACACTGAAGCAAAACACTGAAGGACAGCGTTGGCAGTTCTACTTTATAGGACAGGTTTCTGGCTGCCTGTCTGGCCTTTTAGTGCAGAGTTCAGGAGGCTCCTCAAGATGCTCATTCATTTATTATGTCCATAAAACCTTGGGAACATGAAAGCACAAGACAAGGCCCTGACCCTCAAAGCAGCCCACTATGTGGATGAGGCAGAGGCCCCTGAAAATGTCCACAGATAAGAACAAGACCTGGGACTATGACTAATAGCCAAGTAGTACATCATCCCCAGGTGGTCCCTGCCCTTGGTCGGCCAGTCCATCAATCGTCAAAGGTTACTCTGTCAGTTGACAAAGGTTACTGAATAGCCTCCATGAATAACCCAACAATGAGAATCAACAAACTCCAGAACCTCATGATCCTCCAAAACCAATGCCCCAGCATAATTTACTGTCTACAGGGGAAAAGCACCTTTAAGAAAATTTAAGTAACCACTATTAAGTGTCTGATGGAAAGAAAAGAAGCACTGGCAGGGTGGGGAAGCCAGTCTCCTGCATTTCCCTGCTTCAGCCCAACTCAACATGCCAGTCCCCTTCCACTGTCCCTCTCCTTTTACTGCTTTTGTACAATCTGTCACCAACTTCTGTTGTTTGTTTCTCTGAAATGGCATTTGCATCCTTCCTCTTTTGCCTCGCTTAGTGCTACCATCGCCTCCGATTGTGTGGCCACGAAGCTCCAAGCCTAGGCCATCCCTGCACTTCATGTCTGTCTGATGTGGCTTCTGAAAACCCAGATCTCAGTCGGTCATGTCTCTGCTCTACTATCAGCTCAACGGGGGCTCCTTCAGCACCATCAGGTACTAGTTATTAAGACCCCCTGTTGTCAGTGGCTCTCCCTACACTCACCTAACTTTACTTCCCAGTACTCCTTAGTATATGTCCTCCACTCCAGTCACCTCCCTGTTTATCTGTGCCTTTGCTCAATGGTGTCTGACTTCTGAAACGCCTTGTCTCCTCTTGGCCAACTATTGAATCCTACCCACTCCTTGCCACTGTGTTCACAAGGACCAAGCTTAGGACCGAGGCGATGGGAAAGACAGGAAGGACAAAGTCAGCGGCCTGCTGTTTTCCTACTTCTTTTATTATTTTGAAGTTTCCCTACCACATCCTGATTCCATCACACAGAAATGCTTTTCTGTAGCACCTACCCAGCCACAGGGATGCTCCATCAGCTTGACTGCCCCAGACCACCTAGCTCTGGGTGGAAGGAGCTTGTCATCTTGAGCTGGGTAGACTATCTCTGTCTTATAAGTCAGAAAGGGAAAAAGCTGACACTGGTAATGTTTACTTGCTTGTTATTTCCTAGGAAAGACTCAAATCATTGCTGAGTTAATACACCAAGCTCTAGGATTTCTGAGAGATGGATGGTGGGTTTGTCAAAGGAGAGACTGCCAAGTTGGGTCTCTGGAAAGAATCCAGTGTTCCATAAACCCTGTCTCTTTCCTTATCATAGAAAGAACCATAAAATGACAGAAAGGCAGAGGAGAGCTGCAGGCAGCAGAATGACTTAGAAGCACCATCCTGTGCTTCCTGAAAAACAGAAAATGCAGATTAAGACAAATCTCATCCGTACACACCCCCTTTACTTCCTATGCAGGGTATTGCTTGATGAGAGAGCTGCACAGCAGATACTGGGGAGCTCTTTGGAAAAGTCTCTTGAAAGGGGTACAGTAAAGAGTAGGTGGTGCTCAGAGATTTCCTCACTCTGCCAATTTTTGACTGGGAAGGCTACGATATGGGCAAAAATGGAGAGGAGAATGGTGAGTACCTCCTGTTTCTCCTGTTACCTTGAAGGGAAAAGGTGCATCAGTGTGTGGGGGGCAATTAACGCCTCTTCTTCTATTGGAAGTGGCATGAAAGTGGCTAATCTCCAGGTTATCAGGTGGACTGGGTAAGGCCACCTTCTCTACTTTGTGCAAGTTTCTCTAGAGCTGAAAGAAAAGGATGGTGAAAGCAGTAGTTTTGAATGTTCCCATCTTTATGACTTCAGCTGGAAGATGATGTGCATGAGAAGACATACCTTAAAAATAACTTCCCCCAAACAAAGGGGTCGGGCAGGTGTGGAATGAGAGAGTGAAAAGGATAAAATTCAAAACAAATCTCCTTAGGCAGTTACATTAATGTGATAATAACGACAATAATACTAATTTTTTCACACATGCCTAGTGATTTACATTTTACAAAGCTCTGGGGTACATTATTTAGCAGTATTCTTACAACATAATCCAATCAGGTGATAAAAATAGCAGCTGCCATTTACTGAATGATTACCAGGAGGAACACTTTTCATGTGTTATTTAATCCTCACATCCCCCCCCCACTTGTACCATTGTTTCCCCATTTTACAGAGGGGGAAACTGAGGTTTAGAGATGTTAAGTAACTTGCCCGTCAGGTAGAGATTGAGACCTGAGTCTTTCTGATTCCAGAGTCCAGGCTCAGGACCTTAATAAGGTCTGTCTTATGGCAGGGCTTTTTCATAAGTTCAGGAAGGGGAGGGCACTGAGGAGGAAGCAGCCCTTCATCTTCTCTCCCTGTGAGGTAGGTACACACAGACACACACATTAATACTCCGAGAGATCCCACTTCCTCTGCTGTGCTTCTCAGTTATAAACCCATCCAGCTTGCACAGATACAGGTCCACAGATGAATGTCATGTTACTTACAGGGACAATGGTCAACTCCTATGGATAATTTAACCAGTATCTGAAGCTGCAACAGGAGTTTCCATTTGATAGGATGCAGCCATAGCAAGGCGATGAATTAGCAACTAGTTTTGAAGCTTTGTCACGAAGAATACTTTAAGACTGAAAATAATGAGGGAGACTGAATGCCATTTAGCAGAATGGCTTGTGACATTCAAATAAATGTTCAACTTGAGATTCAAGCACAGAGAGGAAGAAGAAATGACTGTAGAAAACAGTAAGGCACAAACAAATGGTGACAGCTCAGAGAGCTGGCTGCCCTATTCTTCATCAGACCCATCTGACCTCAGTAGTCACAACTGCTGTTAGTTGTGCAGAGGTCTTCTGACACAAACACACATGAACACCCTGGGATACTCCTTGCTGGGCAGGCTGTGGGGAGAAGCAACTGGACTGTTAAGAACTCCTTCCCTCCCCTTTCATCCAAGTACCAACTCTTCTGAGTGTCTCCTGCCCCCCCCTTCCCCTCCCCTCCTCTTTCTCAAAGCCTCCTCCTCCCCTTCTCCATCAACTGGCATGAAAGATCTGAGGGTGAGAGTAGGGAGAGCATGTTAGTTCCTCCGATTTTGAGAGAGTAAAGTGTCAGTGTCAATGTACTCACTCCCCCTCCTTTTGAGCTCTAGAGATATACTTAGATAGACACAAAACACCCACTGGAACTTTTAAATGATGTGAAGAGATCCACAAGCCACCTGTGAAACAAGATCTTGGTGCTTCACAGTCACAGGAACATACAGGTTCGAGAAGGGCTCATGTTTATTACTTATGTCCACACATACCTACACAAAGCAGGTGGCCCTTGCACACACACAGGCATCCTCACACACGGGCATCTTGACGATGCCATCTTTCTTTTCCTCCATCCTCATCTCTTCCCACCCAACTGTAGGTGTTGACCACAGCCACCCTGTGAGAGGCTGAGGGGTATGATGCAGTATAAAGGGAGTCACTCCGCCCTTGGCTACTCCCTGGCTCTGATTCGTGGGTAAGCCACTTAGCCTTTCTGAATCTTTGTAAAATGGAGATAACAACCACCTGGCTAGGTGCTGTGAAGATAAAGGAGAATAGTATACGTAGGGCCCTTGGTACAGCTCCTGGCGCTGTCCCACCTGGTTCCTGAGCCTGCCTTCCTACACCCACACCTGGGCTGACGGTGCCTCCGGTCACCCGGTCCCCACCCTCAGGACACTGGCCTGACACTGGGAAGACTGGGGACTAGTCCGGGCCCTCAGGCCTGTACCAGGAGGGTTCCAGCTCTCAGGTCACAGGTCTGCTGGCCAGGGCTAGCCTGCAGGGCCACGAGGGCGTGGGGAGCCACGGTCACGTGGGAGGGCCATAGGTCTCCCGCCCGTGGACCTGCAGGAGGCAGGCAGAGCGGGCTGGTGGAGGGGGGCAGAGCCCGCGGTTAAGTCGACCCAAGGCTGTGGGTGGCTTCCTCCTGTTGCTCAGTATCAGGGAGAGGAGGGGGAGGACATTCATTATTTCCTAAGTAAGCGTCCACCCGTCGCTTCGATAACTATCGATTGTGAAAAGCTGGCGGCGTCCGTTAAAGGCGAAGCCGGGACCCCGCGCGCCGCCGCCGCGTCTGTCTTCCCGGACCCTTCGTGGGGACCTCCTCCGCGCATGCAGGGCAGCGATGGGCCAACGCTTCTGCATCGGCTCATCTAGCAGCTTCGGGAACCGCAACCACGAGCTGTGGTTTGACTCCTGCCCGCCCACCCGCGGGGGCCTTTCCTTCCCAGAGCGTCGTGTCACGCCCTCGGAGCGGGTCACCTGTTCCGCAGCGTCCCTGGCGCCCGGGGTTCGAGGAGCCGGCCGGCGCTCGGAAAGTTATTTCCAAAAGCAGATATGCAGCAATCCTCGCTGCAGCAAACTACAGGACGCGGAATACCCGAACCCTGCCCCACCGCCAGCAGCCCGGCGACCGGAGCCCGCTGCCGGAGTCCCGCAGCGCCGAGAGCCACCCGCAAATGCACCTACTCTCCCTCCAGCGCCCGAGTGCAATGGGGAGAAAGCCCCAAAGCAAACTCACAGCGCAGAGCCATCCCAGTCCCGGCCCGGAAAGGATCGGGCTGCTGGGGATCGGCCTCCCGCCTGGCCGCTCCGAGAAATACTCGCGATTTCCCGCCCCGGCCTCCCCTCCTGTCTGCCCCAGCCTTCCCGGCTGGGCTGCTGCGACCCCTCGTACCTGCGGCGGTCCCGGGCTCGCCCTCGCTCTGCTCGCCGGAATCCGAATCCATGCTGCCGGCCGGGCGTCCACAGACCCCCGCCCGTCCGCGGAGCGCACGGGACCGGCCGGCGTCCGGACTCGGGCTGCCGCGTCGCACTCCGGCCGGGCAGTGCGCTGCGGCCGCGGCCGGGGGGCCGCTCGGCAGAGGCTAGCGCCGCCCGCGCCCCGTTCCCCGCTCCCCGAGCCCGCCGGCCGGTGCCTGCTTGCCAGGCGAGCGCGGGGCGGAGGGTGGGGTGCGCCGGGAGAGCGCGGGGAGGAGGGCGGGGAGGCGCTAGTGGGGAGGAGCAGGAGCGTCCGGCGCCCCGCGCGCTCCAGCCTGGGGTTAAATACCCGGGGGGCGGTGCCGCTCCTCCACCCGCGCCCCCATCGGGCGCCCGGAGTCCTGAACTTGTGGAGCCGGGCGAGGTCGTGCGAGCCGGCGAGGCTGAGCCCCTTCCCTTGGAAGTGGCCAAGTTTGGAGAAGTTTTAGGTGAAAAAGCGCCTCTACCCAAGTAGGAAAAGGGGAGGTTTAGAGTGGGCGTGCTGGGGTTGCCCGGGTTCGAGTCTAACTCCACAGTTCGGAGACCTTGGCCGAGTGACTTAACTTCTCTGTGCCCGTTTCCTCACCTGGAAAATGGAGACAATCAGAGTTCCCTTTCGTCCGGGAGGTTGTGAGGGGAGTATATAAATTATGCGTTTGAGGGGCCGAGAGCAGGGCCTGGCACTTAGCGAGGAAGTAAACGACGCGCGGAGGCAACGCTGACGCTGGTGGTTCTTCTCCCGGCGCGGGCGGGGGCGGGCAGGTTGGGCAAGCCGCTGTGGGGCGGGTTCCAGGACGGGGAGCCCTCGCGGGCGTCCCAGGCAGGACCGCCCTGCTGCCAGTCAAGGAGCCAGGCCACTTCCCGGCCCCGACTCAGGGGCAAGAACGGATTTTAAAACCTTTAGTTTGTCTTTAACACAGAGTGCTAATCTTTCTCAACATCCCCTCCTTCCACTTTCTAAAAAAAGAGAGAGAGAGAAGCGGCTGTATATTTATTTAGTAATTAAGAGACTAAACTAGGGGGGAAATGCACGGAGCAGTAAGGCCTGAGGGGATCCTTTGTTGTTAATTCGTGATTATCCACGCAGTCTTATTTTCTCCCTGAATTATCAGCTGCAACACTTACATAATCTTAGCCTGGCTTCTCAACATACAAATTGTGGGCAGAGAATACAAACACACTTTGTTGACCTGCGCAAAATGAAATTGGGAAGAGAAAAGTCTACCAAAAAGCGCTGTTTATTGTTTCCTGTGTGCACCCATTTAATCTCTAGAACGACCTAGTGAGGAATTTACGTCGAATGATTTGAAAATGCTTTTTTGGAGGTCAAAAATGGTTGAAAGTTGGCAGTTTCGTAGAATTTAACCTATATTGTTATCTCCATTTTGAGATGTGGAAGCTGAGTCTCAGGGTAGATAACTTTCCTGTGGTCTCAGGTCCAGTATGTGGGTGAGTTGGGCCTTGAAATCTGGTCTGATGTGCGGACCTGCTACTGACCGCTACGGTATAGTGTCACAAGTGTGTTTGGCCTCTTGGCTCCCTGAAGTCTACCTCCTTTGGTGAAGGTATGGGTTTCTCAGAGTGCACATACAGCTCTCCTTTGTGTTCTCAGAAAACGTTTTTTGGATGGCCAAACTCATGGACTTTAGCTGGTAAAAGTTGGATGGATTGGAAGGGTCAGAAGAACCCCACGCTAGAAGTGTGATCTTGGACAAATGGCTTGACCTCCCTCAGTTTCCTCAGGTGATGGCATCTCCTTCATATGGTGGTTGTAAGGAAGTGAATGAAATAATGAGTGTGGAATTTAGTACCCAATGCCTGGCACACAATTGATGTTTGATAAATGGAAAGAATGTTCTTAGAGCTAATGGGTCCCATTTAGAAAAACAAAATATTTTAAAAGCACATATTTAAGTGAAAAGAAAAAAGTAGCAGCAACATTTGGATAAAAGTTGACACTCAAAAAACAAATAGCTGGGATCGTTTTAAAAGTTTGGCATCATAGCTTTGTAGTCTTGAGGAAAAACAACGATGATAGCGTCAGAGAACAGAGCGTATTGGATTGAAAAGTCATCCAGCTTCCTCTAAGAAGTTGTTGCCTAGGTTCAACAACAGGAAATGTGAAACTTTCTCTGTTCGCTTAGACCTCCTTTCCTGGCACTTGATGGAAGCGTTTTTGTTTTTGTTTGTTTGTGTGTTTGTTTTAATGGACAAGTGGTCTGGGTTGAAGACAGAAATACCACTGAGACATCTGTGTATCCCAGAGAAAACAGGGAAGCTCACTACTGGAACTTGATCAACAGTAAACAAAGTACTGGGAGTGCAGTTCACAATACAGATATGTCCATCAGTCATCAGATCTTTACTGAGTACGAAGTACACTTTAGACCAGAGATAAAATTCTGTGGGCAGAGGGAGGGGGAGGGCTAGTCACAGTGCTCCTGAAAAGTCTATGAGGTGAGTCTTTAATAAACAACACCTATTCATTTATCTGTCCCTGTGTTCAGTCATAGAATATTTCTGCAAAAGGAGGCAGACGTAGAATGAAAAATTGAATGTGGAATTAAACAATGGAGAAGAGACATCCAAACTAAATAAGATCTCCATTCCAATTTCCTATGATATTCAATCTGTTGTCATGGGATAGCAAGACAAAGGGAAATGACTGCTGGCACGCATGTGTGTTTAATGAAGAACATTAGTGGAACATACCTTATCTGTCCTCCCAGTGTGGAAAAATCTGTATAAGAGAAGGAAGTCCTTAAAATAGTATCCCACATCCGTCACCCCCATGAAAACAGTGAAATCTGAGGTGGTGAATCTCCTTTACAAACCAATCCTAGTATATTTCTTTAAAAGAAAGAAAGAAAGAGAAAGCTCTTAGAAAAGAGGAAAGGACTTCTGTAGTTCCTCTGTGTATTTTTAGAAGAATGGCATTGCTTTGCAGACTTGAATCTAGGGTCTGAGGGTTATAAACTGCTTTCCTCAGTGTTTCCACTACGTCTTTTCAGCTTGGCTACTCTTCAGACACAAAAATTTCTAACTCTTATTGGTCATTTCTTAGCTTCAGCTAATGAAATCGGTAGCTTTTTAAGGAACTTGTCTGTCTGGTGGGAAAAGCATGTTTATTTGTAAGGCGTCAAGAAACAGATCATAAAATAGATCCATTTCTGCTAACACAATAATACTCCTTTGATCCAAGCCAGTGCTATGACTCATCTGCCTGTCTTCTCTTGTGGGATGGAAAGGGAGCTGTCTGCAACCTTCGGCAGACAGCCGGGAGAAGGGAGGGAGGGAGGTTCCTCTCACAAACCAGGGCTGTGGTTCTACTTTGAAAACCCACAGGGTCCTGGAACTGCTGTTTTTCTGGGCTGAAGTGGCCCTTGGTACTTTGGAATGAGATCTTGGCCAGGATAGCCCCATTTTTAATAACTTGTTTCAAGGTGGATATTGGCACCAAGGAAGCTTCTGCCCAGAGCCAAGGTGACCTCCACGGGGCTCTAGGCAAGCTGGACAGCGGGGTCTGAGCTGGCTTCGTATCCATCTGGCAGAACAAGATGCTGGGAGACAGCCTTGAAAGAGGGGGATTTTCCTATTTTTTTTCTCCTGGCTAGCAAAAATAAGTTTTATTGCCCCCCCAACCTTATTTCAAAAGCAATGCACATCACTGTAGAAAAAAATGGAAAAAACTTATAAGCAAAGAAAGAAGAAAATTTAAAAATCCATTCATAATTCTACCAGTTGCAATAGCTATTAACATCTTTTGAAAAATTTCCTTGTTTGTGTGTACAGTATTCTGCTTTTGTAAATTGTTTTTCCTTTTAACGATGGTGAACATCATTCCATCTACTCTCTGACAATAGGATTTTTAATAGGTGCACAGTATTCTATTGTATGGGTGGGTGTACCATAAGGTATTTCAGCAATCCTCTATCGTTGGGCATACAGGTTGTTTCCAATTTTCTGCTAAAATAGATAGCATCAGTGAACATCCTCATGTCCAAATCTTTGCACACATTTTTAAAATTTATTTATTTATTTTATTTATTTATTTTTGGCTGCGTTGGGTCTTCATTGCTGTGGGCTCTCTCTAATTGTGGTGAGTCGGGGGGCTACTCTTCATTGTGGTGCACGGGCTTCTAATTGCAGTGGCTTCTCTTGTTCTGGAGCACAGGCTCTAGAGCGCAGGCTCAGTAGTTGTGGCACGTGGGCTCAGTAGTTATGGTGCACGGGCTCAGTAGTTGTGGCTCGCAGGCTCTAGGGCGCAGGCTCAGTAGTTGTGGCGCATGGGCTTAGTTGCTCCGTGGCATGTAGGATCTTCCCGGACCAGGGCTTGAACCTGTGTCCCTTGCATTGGCAGGCAGATTCTTAACCACTGTGCCACCAGGGAAGCCCTGCACACATCTTTAATCAATGTCTGTGAACCTTCAGCAGTCTCCTTCGTTCTTGGGAGAAAGAAACAAGACAGAAGATTATAGCTAACAAAATAATTGCGATATCTATGCTGAGACATTAAGGTTATCAAGAATTTTAATGAGCATGATCCCTCTCGGCAGAGGGTGGGTTAGTTGAATTCATGCTTGAATTTATCAAGCATTGCTTGAGCCCAGGGGGCGTTCCTATAGGTTGAGGAGAGAAATGGAAAACATCCTTCTGCATTTCTTTGTGGGCAGTATGTCCTCTACAGAGGCCCATCCACATCTAGACACCTGTGGGAGGTAGGGGTGGGAGAGGCTGGCAATTTGGGCATCAGGCTGTTCTCCCAAGCTTTTAGCTTCTGCCCTCATGGGCTGCCTACAGGACAGCTTCCTGAGCAGTGAATGCAGTGATAGTGACTGTAAAGCACTGATTCAGAGGGAGAGGGAAATTGAGAAAGAAGGAAGAGGAAGAGAAAGAGGGAGAAAGAGGAAAACTCTATGGGCCCAGTCTCTGTTGTGCTTTGGCTCAGATTCCTATGGGGTTGTTTGTAAGCCTTTCAAATTGTCTTACAAACAGGATGAGGATCATAGGTTCAGCACCGCTAGGAGTCTCCCCGATTGCCACATATGGTGTCTTGGGCCCCCTGTGGCATTCACTCTGGGGGCTGCAGGACGTGACTGTGCTGTAT